GAACCGGGGAGTACTTCCTCCTAAAGCTGTAGCCTATGTCTTCAGAGTCCTCTTGTACTTCTAAAGTAGGGTCCAAATAATTCAGTGGAGTCATGTGCTTATTTTTCAGATGAATAATGCTAATTAATAGGTTAAAAGATTTGTTAATCTGTAATTTCATCAGGTTGTGCTAGAATGTTTAAATATCCTATTTAATTAGGTTAAATGTTTAAACATCTCTTAGGACCAGAATTACCAGTTTTCATATGTTGGTTGTAAGTTCCTTGCCTCAGATTTTTACCTAGCCATAGTCACTGTTCCTATAATCAGAGACTTTTAGAGATGAATTACATGGTCTGTAATAGCCCAAAGCAAGAATCACCTGATGAGCTTGCTAAATAAACACATATCCTGTCCCCCCCTCCACCCCCAGTCTCATTCACTTAGTTTGGGGTGGGACCCAAAAATTTCTCCTCCTAGCAAGCTCCCAGGGGATGCTGTTGCTGGTGGTGACTACAGTTTGAGTAGTCTCTTCCCCTTAGGCAAATTGGCTTTAATCCCTACCCCATTCATAATTAAGTACTGAAATTTGAAGATTTATTTATTTGAGAGAGAGAAAGGGAGAGAGCACTGAGCCGAGCCGGGGGAGGGGCAGAGGGAAAGAGAGACAGAGAGACTCTCAGACTCCCCCCTGAGTTCGGAGCCCAACGTGGGGCTAGATTCTAGGACCCTGAGATTGTGACCTGAGCTGAAACCAAGAGTCGATGCTCAACTGACTGAGCCATCCAGGCGCCCCTGAGTAGTGAAATTTAAAGATGTATGTGTCTAAGGTGAAATCAAGTACAGATTTAATATCTTTATTTATAGTCAAGTTACATTTTACTTTCTAAAAACATATTTCTAATGTTTGTTTTGACTGTATATGCATCTAGGTTGAATTATCTATAAAAGTATTCTTCTGATTTGTGTATTTTTTTACTTTTGTAAAGATATTTTAGCAGAGTTTAGAATATTTAGGAATGACTGATGTTATTGGTGATTTTGTCTTTATTTTAGTTTGTTATAGCTTATCAGACTCTTCAGAGAGAGAAGAAAAAGTTACAAGTAAGTGATATCTTGGCTGTGATATTGATTCATGCATAATTTAAAAATTAGAGTCTTATCGTAAGATAGTTCTGACCCTCACTTTTAATAATTCTCCATGTGATCCATGTATTTAACCTATTTTACTACTGGCGATTTTAATAAAGAGAGTGAGTGAAAAATTCCAGAGATTTTACCTCTGGTAGGGATGGGCTTTTTTTGTTTTGGATCCCTGCAGTGTTCAAGAGGTTTGGATTTAAGGCATGTTTGCCTCTTTCAAACATGCTTTCTAGTGTCTTGGTCTGCAGGTTGAATCTTTTAGTTGTAGAGACATACAACCTTCTAAGCTTTCCCTTCTGTTTTTGAAATACCTGCAGATATTTCTGTTCCATATCATTCTATCAGGGTCCGAACACAAGCATCCTCTCTCTTTTTTCCTGAGGCTGCTTCTTGTAAAGCTCTTGGTCAAGTATGTGGAGAAAGAGGAAGCCGTTAAGCTGTTCTGGGTGACCCACCTTGGCCCCACTGTGTCACCCTGTTCCGTGGCTAGACATTTCCCACCAGGTATCCCAGGTGATAATTCACAGGTCAGAGCTAAGGGGAAGTATCCACTCCACTTCAAACAGTGCCATCAGTTTGCTGTGCTAAGATACATAAATATTTATCATTTAGAATAATGCTTTACTAATTTCTGCTTCTGTCCTGTCTTGAGAAGGATGGAGAATTATATTCTTATATTTGTTAGGGGATAGCATTCTGTATCTCTGCTGTATCACTTATAAACATTTTTAAATCTTTTAATGGTAAAATATATAGAAAATCATGCACAAAAAAAGTCTTATTTTTTACAGTAGAAGTTATTTAAAACAGTTTAGCATTTTGTCCCATCTAAAAACACTACTTACATAACCAAAAAGTTATTTGTAAAGTGAATTTTGGTAAAATTAATTTCCCCATGTACATTATCTTAAAATATTTAATCTACCATAAATAATCTCCATTAAGTACAACATTAAATTTCCTGGCTTTGGTCTGGAGTATAATCAGTTCAGAATTGGTAACACCAGTTATTTATTGCTGATTCAGTGTTCTCATTGTCTATAACAAGTGTGAAAATTAGATTATTACAAATAGAGTTTTTAGTTTGACAGTGTTCTCTTAAACATGAGGTCTTTTGAAATGGAGGGTAGCTCTGATTTAATCCATTGTATTATTAATATTACCTAAATTCATGCTCAAAAGTTCATCTTATTCCCACTTATTCCTACTGTTTGGGGGTACCTTGCTTGGGTCTCTATGAATTGTCTCTCGAGTTTTATTTCTAGCTGTATGTAATTCTGCCACTAAGTGGCGGTAGAGAACTGTAGAGAACTCTGGTTGTATAGTCCCAGTGTAAAGAATGTTGAAGATAAAATTCAATGACTTGTGCTCTTTTTTACTTGCTTTTCATTACTATGTCATGCAGTTGTTTGACCAGCTTTTTTTTTTTTTCTTTTTAAAATTAAAGGGTATATTAAGTCAGAGTCAGGATAAAGCACTTCGGAGAATTGGAGAGTTAAGAGAGGTAAGTCGTAATGATTATTTGAGAATTAAATCTCTCATATTTATCGGAACTCTTATACTTGTTGGGATAGTTTCATATACACTTCATTAGTTATAGTAAAAACCAATCAGCCCAACCCCTAAGACCAGAGATCAATTCTTACGGTTTTATTTGTGTGGTTTCCCTAAGATATATGCTGGTGGAATTTATGACATAAGAATGCCTTATTTAGCAACAGAATATCATTTGCCAGCTTGACAGTCAGTGGCAACTTCCAAGGCTAACCTGTCTCTTCTATTAGGTATTTGAGGCTTCTTTTCATTGTTCCTAGCCAACAATCTTGATAAAATTAAATAAAAATTATGTTCCTTGTAATTTTGGGGGGTAATTTTTACAGTGAAATATTAGAGTCCAGGCAGATATTTATCATTTGGAATCATACTTGACTCATTTATGTTCCCGTCCGGTCTTGAGAAGGATGGAATATTGGCTAGTGGGTAGGATTCTATGTCACTGTGATATCATTTAAACATTTTGAACTCTTTTAATTGTAAAAATATTTTAATTGTAAAGTACAACAAATATAGAAAATCATGCACAAAAATATATAGCTTATATGTATACGGTGAACACTATTGTAACCACCACTAAGGCCAAGAAATAGAATGTTGCCAGTCACCCTGAGAGCCCCTCTGTGTTTCCCAAGCCAGTCATAGCCCCTCCCTTTCTCTAAAAATAACTACTGACTTTTGTTGTGCTTCCTTGTGTCTCTTTAAGGTTTTATCACCGAAATGTGAGCCTCTAGGTACTACAGTCATGCCCGTGTAAAAATTGTTTTGATACATCTTTTAAGTCTTCTTTAAATCTATACATCCCTGCTGCATCCGTTTTCCTTATAGGTCACCTGTTGAAGAACCTGATGATAAATTAGAAGACCCAAAATGACTCATTTGCCTTATTCCAGCATTATAAGCACAACACTCTTAGAATAACAATACTATCACCATCAATTATGATTACTGAGATTAAATAAATTTTTATATACTATTTCTGTTTTCCACCTTTAAAAATCTTTTTCCATATCTATACTGTTAGATCATAAGCCATTAAATATGTATTCTTTCCCTTTTAACCCTTGTGAAAACACTCGTAGGAAATACTAGTCAGAGCCACAGATTGACAAGTTTTAGTTCTTTTTTATTTTTATTTTTTATTTTTAAGATTTTATTTATTTGACAGAGAGAGATACAGCGAGAGAGGGAACACAAGCAGGGGGAGTGGAAGAGGGAGAAGCAGGCTCCCCGCCGAGCAGGGAGCCCGATGTGGGGCTTGATCAGGACCCTGGGATCATGACCTGAGCCGAAGGCAAACGCTTAATGACTGAGCCATCCAGGCGCCCCTAGTTCTTTTTTTATTATCTGCCTACTCGTATTAGTTTTCTATTGCTGCTGCAGCAAATTACCACAAACTTAATGGCTTAAAACAACACAAATCTCAGAAATTTGACACAAGTCTTACCAGGCTAAAATTAAGGTGTCAGTTGGGCCGTTCCTTAATGGAGGTTCAAGGGGACAATCTTTCTTTGCCATTTCCGGCTTCTAGAGGCTGCCACGTCCTCTGATGCATAGTCTCTTTCCTTATCTTCAGAGCTATCAATGTTGCATCTCTGCCCATTCTACCATAATCACTCCTCCCCTTCTCTCTGAACTCAGTTGGGAAAGGTTCTGATTTTAAGGACCCATGTTATTAGATTGGTCCCACCCAGATAATCCAGGATAATCTCCTTATTTCAAGGCTCTTAATTTGATCACATCTGCAAATTCTCCTAATATGTTCCAGTTTCAGGGATTAGGATTTGGAATCTTTGGGGCCATATTCTGCCTACTACACTGCCTTTAGTCAAGACTATAATCAACGAAATGGCCAGGAGACAGCTAATAAAGGAAAGGAGGAGAAATAAGGGGTCTAGAGGCCATATAGTAAATTGCTGTTTGGTGCATATCTATACTGTTATTGTAGTAGCTAAGATATATTTCTGAATCAAAATCCTGGTTACAGTTACATGAAAAGAGATTTATTCAGTAATTTATATGTAAATAGTAGGTAGATAAGGGAAGGTCTGGATATTTTAAATTTTGTTCACAAAGAAAAAAATTTCCTTCAACTAAATAGTATAACCCATTAAATCATGATTAGTATTTAATTGAACATTCAAAGTGCTATATGTCATAAAATGTTCTGTTTCTTTGGAATTAAAGTCTGAATAGAAGTTACATACTGTTTCATTAGTACTTTATTGACTTAGACTCGGGCAAAACAGTATAATGTTCCTTATTTTGTTATATCAAGATACTCAGGGTATCAGGAAAGATGTTGGGTTTGAGGTTGGTGTTGAGGAGAGTAACTACCATGACTTCCCGTGCTCTAACGAAACCTCAGACGCGAGGCCTTCTGGCCAAGCGTCTGCGATTTCATATTGTTGGAGCGTTCGCTGTATCCCCGGGGGTTGCAGCATTCTGTAAGTCTGCTGTGGCCGAACCAAGAAAGAAGGCATATGCAGATTTCTACAGAAATTATGATTCCATGAAAGAGTTTGAGGAGATGAAGAAGGCTGGTATCGCTCAGGGTGTAAAATAATTTTGGAATGTAAAGAATTTTTTTGGGTTGAGTTCCATGGAAGTTTGTCACTGACCTGTTTGGGTTATGGAATAGTTTCCCTTTATAAGTAAACAACTAACAAATACCGTGGGCAGTAAAAAGAAAAAAAATTTTTTTTCAGAAAATAGTATTTTATATATTCCTCATGTTGTTATGAGTATATGCACGAGTATAATCCATGAACATCTCTCCTAATATTTTCTAGGGAATGAAAGAAAACAACAGTTCTGTATAGGCAAATATTATGTCTTATGTCAGTTTCTAGCATATTAGAGATTTGTTAATGAACCAGATAAAGAAGTAAAAAGTAAGCAAAAACATACCCCAACAGATACCCTGTAATTTTCTTCGCCTGATTTTGAATCTTAACATCAACACATAATAAATAGGAATATCATACTATGAGAAGCTATGAAAATTATGAGCTCATCCAAGTAGATGGGGCGTTCTCTGATTTCCTTTTAAGGCCAGTTAAGTGGGGAATAAGTGAAGACATTATTTTAGATATTTCCTCCTTTCTCTGTCCTTCTGTCTGTGCATGGTGTGTTCTTTTTCTAGGCTCACCCAGATGCAGCTCGCTACGAGCAACTGCTGTTCTCGAAGCTAACTTCAGGGAGGGAGGGTTCATGTTTCGCACCTTGAAACACATCCAAACATAATGGGTAGCATTAAGGCTGAGATAAAAAATAGTTAAACAGTTAATTAGTTGGGATATAAGTAGTTTGTTTTTTTTTTAAGATTTTATTTATTAATTTGACAGAGAGGGACACAGTGAGAGAGGGAACACAAGCCGGGGGAGTGGGAGAGGGAGAAGCAGGCTTCCTGTGGAGCAGGGAGCCCGATGTGGGGCTCGATCCCAGGACCCCGGGATCATGACCTGAGCCGAAGGCAGACGCTTAAGGACTGAGCCACCCAGGCACCCCTAAGTAGACAGTTCTTAAGTTTCTTTGTAGTCTTTACTGTTTATGGAGTGCTTTTTGGTAGAATAGGGTAAGGTAGCAGGGGGAGGGAGAAGAAGATATGATTAAAGATGCTACCATTGTATCCAAGGACTTCTTATCTACATGGGGAGATGAAAACGTTTTAAAACCTGAAAACCATCATATAAATTGAGGAATTTTTGTTGGCTGTTAGGGATGGCATGTAACAGAGTCTAGTTATGGTAGGATGTAGAAAATTATTTGGAAAAAATGAATTTTAAGGAAAGTAAAGGACTGCATTACTATTAAGGAGATGTGCAACTGTTTCATACTAAAGAATTGGCCTGTGCAAAGTCATGGAAGATAGTGCTTTCCAGACTTTTGGATTTCATGGACTGAAAAACTACCTTCCAGTTCCTTCCAGATATGGGGGAAAGGAGAATTGTCATAGACCTGCAAACTTTCTTTTAAAGATTTATTTATTTATTTGAGAGAGAGCCCGAGAGAGTGTGTGCACGTGTGGGAGAGGGGCAGAGGCAGAGGGAGAGAGAATCTCAAGCCGACTGGCCACTTAGCTGAAACCAAGAGCCTGATGCTCAACCAGCTGAGCTACCCAGCCTCCCCAGAGCTCAAACTTTTATTTTTTCAAGTAAGGATGTTGAAGAAACCAAATTCTTTTATTGTCATTATTTCATGAAAGAAAGCTTTTTCTCTTTCTTTCTTTCTTTCTTTCTTTTTTTTTTTTAATTTTTAAGTAATTTCTACACCCATCTCAGGACCCCGGGATCAAGATTCACATGCTTTTCTAACTGAGCCAGGTAGGCGCCCTGAAAGATTTTTTTTTAATATCAAAAAAGATGAGGAAGGACATATTCTCAGAGTAAAGGACAGTTGTTTAAATGAAAGAAAAACTCTCTCTGTTGCTTTTCTGTTTGTTATTTCACCATGGGTCAGTGAAGACTTCATTCTGGACTTGTACTGATTCAAAGACTGACATTTGGAGACTACTGCTATAGGAGGAGTCAAGCCAGGAGTCTTTCGTGAGAGGAACAGTGCAAATGGGATCTTAGGGCAATGTAGGTGTGGGGGAGAATAGAGGACAGTTAGTGCTTCAGTGTTTTGAGAGTTAGTAAATTTGAAACAATGCAAAAGGAGGGCGTTGCTTGTAAGTCCTTGAAAATATTGTTTGAGGAAAATTTTCTAGCAAATGTGTAAGGGATGGATTAAACCAGAGGAAGACTTGGGGTAAGAATTCTCTCTAGAAGGCTACCGAAGGAAATTAGTCATTGAAATGATAAAGATCTGGACTATGGTTATGGATGTGGAAAAGATAGGACTTAAACATTGTAGAAAAAGTAATACAAGAATTTGATTATACGCAGGGATTGACAAAGTTAGGTAAACTGTGACTGAATATTTTGAGCTCAGGGAATTAGAAAAGTAGGAATCCTAGAAAAATAGAGGGGTTTTGATGGGATATTTCCTATGTTCCAGATGTTATTCTCTAGGATTCTAATGGAGTAAGTGTAAGGAAGAAGGACCGAGGATGCAAACTGAGTCCAGGGGGATAGATGCCCATAGAATCCGTGAGGCAGGTAGAGGAAATTCAGAGATACAAGTGTAGACAGGAGCCTGAAGCCGCAGAGAGCGGGTATCTCAGCTGAGGAAGGAATTATTGGTGACTAGTGTAATAGAGAGGTAAAGATCATTGGATTTAGTGAGGAAACCTCATTAATGACCTAAAGAGAGTAGCAGTCTAAATAATTTCAGGAACTTGGAATTTTTCTGTTTGGTAATCAGCTAGTTCAAACTTTTCATTTTACAAATGAGGAATCTTCTGACTTTGGCTATTGACTGCTGTTGTGTATTGGGAGGAGGAAAGTTCTATTGGCTATGGCTATCTGTTTGGTATAAAACAATGTAGTTTTAGATCAAGTGCATATAAGGTAGCACAAGTAGTAATATGTCTTAAAGTAGGATACAGGTTTTTTTTATCTTAATTAATTGTTTTATCCTCTCCACATTATCATTACAGAGCAGTCATTACAGCTCTAAAAATATACTTTCTTTTCTTGGAACTCATATTTTTTAAGGAACAGAATTATCCGCTGGGATAAATACCAATGTTTTACCTGCTGATTCTTCTCTAATTATTGTGCTGATACCTCATCTTAAGAAAAATGCAAATCTGGATTGATCATGTTTTTAAACTTTGAAAACTTCGTTTGTATTTTTTTTTTGTTTTTTTTTTTATTGAAAACTACTTATAAAACCTTTTATGTTTTAGGAGCTCCAAATGGATCAGCAAGCAAAAAAGCATCTACAAGAGGAGTTTGATGCATCTTTAGAGGAAAAAGATCAGCATATCAGTGTTCTCCAGACTCAGGTAAAAGAGTAAAAGAAAAAGAGTGGAATTTTTAGATAAAGAAGAATTAAAGGATTTGATGGGATATCTCATAGGTTCCAGATGTTACAAAATGACCTATTTTTAAAACTCTTGCTTTTTCTTAGTTGCTTTTCAGTATATTTTTTTAATGTATTTTGTCTTTTGACTATGATATCATTGAAAATAGCAAATATAAAAATCGACTTCATTGGGAGTAAACATTTTATTTTGATTTTTCCTCCCAGTATAATGATAAAGAGTATCTTTTACTCTGTCCCCTCTGTTTTGTTTTATTTTTTTTTAAGACTTTATTTATTTATTTGACAGAGAGAGACACAGTGAAAGAGGGAACAGAAGCAGGGGGAGGGGGAGAGGGAGAGGGAGAAGCAGGCTTCCCACTGAGCAGGGAGCCCAATGTGGGGCTCGATCTCAGGACACTGGGATCCTGACCTGAGCCGAAGGCAGACGCTTAACGACTGAGCCACCCAGGCGCGTGCCCCCCCACCCCGTGTGTTAAAGTACTACTGTGTAGTTTCTTTCTCTCTCTCCCTCTCCCTCTCTCTCTTTTTTAGAGTGAGAGTTGGGGGGATTCCGCACAGAGGGAGAGGGAGAATCTTAAGCAGGCTCCATACCCAGCACGGAGCCAGAAGGCAGGGTGTAGTCTCACAACCCTGAGATCATGATCTGAGCCAAAACCAAGAGTCAGACACTTAACCAGCTGAACTACCCAGGTGCCCCTCATTTTTTTTTTTCCTAAGGCACCTTTCTTTTTTAGGTTTCTCTGCTGAAACAGCGGTTACGAAATGGCCCGATGAATGTTGATTTAGCGAAACCGTTCCCTCAGATGGAACCACAGGCTGAAGGTGTCTCTAAAGAGAACACAGACGGTGATATAGAGCCAGCAGGTAAGCTTCATCTTGTCGAAAGGTTAATTTAAAAGCTAGAGGAGGATGTTGATAGTTTCCAGGGCATGATGTGGGCTGAGGTAGAAGTGTCCTCCAGGAAGATGCAAGAGTTTTTGTTGTTTTGTTTCTTTGCTTGTTATTGTTCTCCAGGAGAACAAAGCTAAGTAATTGTGTTAAGACTTGAAAGTCTGTGTGTAGCACCACATTTTCGTTGTAACTAAAATTCATTCTAGTGTTCTCTTCAGCAGCACATATACTAAAATTCATTATATTACACTGTTTTATTGATAGCAGTAGCTAGATTTCATATAAACAGGTCAGTTCTGTTTAAGATGAATGAATTTGCTATTTTCATTGTTTGGCTGTTTTAGTTTTTGAGTAATATTGCTTACATACTTCTACATTCAAAGATATCTATATTCTATTATTTGGTTTCTAATTAGAAAGGAAGAAATAGTTAAATTTTGTCTCAAAATTCAGTTATAGCCCTCCATATTTTTTGAGGCTTTAAGGTACATATTCAGTAAAATTCCCACTTTTTATTTACTGGCTCTTTCTCTCAGAGACATTTATGATAAACTTTTAGTCCAGCCAGAGCCAGAGCAAGGTGCTGAGCAGCTGTCTGAGCAACCAGGCTATAAAGGGTCCTGAGAGTCCCTTGGGGTAAGAAAACTTAACTCATAAATGTGTGGAGAATGTAGAAAGCTGTACTTAACCAGAACTCCTCTCAGGGACAGATTAGAATGCATTGGAAAAAAATTCTTTATTAGTCTTTTAGGGATGGGAGCCAGGACACAGAGGGCACTTTTGAATAACAAAA